TTTTTGGTTTTGTTTGAGACGGAGTCTTCCTCTGTTGTATATGTTAGAGTGCCATGGCGTCAGCCGTCAGCCTCGCTCCCAGCATCCTCAAACTCCTGGGCTCAGTTGATCCTCCTGCCCCCTGCTGTGTACTGTTGTATTGTGTGAATGTGGAATTGCTGGAAAGGAACTCGGAGTGCCAGGAAGAAGATAGATGAACAGACAGTCTTATGTTTGTAATGTTTTATAGCCTTTGTGCTTCTTTCCCTCCCTCTTACTCAAATGTTGTCACATTCATTCTGACTCTTTCCCCTTATTTGTAAGTGATGCTTTGAATTTATCCTTTGTTAATTTGGAATGTTCTTGAACACTTTTATGTCAACTATATACCATCTTACCTGTAATCTTTTTTGGTAAAGGAATATTAAAAATAGATATACTGCTTTTTGTATTTATTTAACTTCTCTTTTTCATTTTCTTCTTCTCCTCTATTTTTTTTTTCCTTTGCTATCCTTGGTAGAGTGCCATGGCCTCACAGCTCGCGGTGCTCACATGATCTTCTGAAGAAGCCTCAAACTCTTGGCCTCAAGTGATTCTCTTGCCCCAGCCTCCTAAGTAGCTGGGACTACAGGTGTCTGCCACAATGCCTGGCTGTTTTTAGAGACGGGGTCTCACTCTTGCTCAGGCTGGTCTCAAGTTTCTGAGCTCAGGCCATTTACCTGCCTTGGCCTCTCAGAGTGTTAGGATTACAGGCGTGAGCCCCCCTTTTTTTTTCTGAGATGAGAGTTTTACTCTGTTGCCCTGGGTGGAGTGCTGTGGAGTCACAGCGCATAGCAATTTCAAGCTCTTGGATTCAAGCGATCCTCTTGCCTCAACCTCTGGAGTAGGTGGGACTACATTCACCCGCCACAAAACCTGGCAAGTTTTTCTATTTTGTTAGAGACAGGGCCTCACTCTTGCTCGGCTGGTCATGAACTCCTAAGCTCAGATGATCCACCCAGCACAGCTTTTTCAGAGTATCAGCCAGGATTATAGGTGTGAGCCCCTGTGCCCGGCCTAGACATACCATATGAGTTTGTCAGTGTTCTGTGTTTTACTTTTCTGCTTGGATTTTGAGTTGTCCTTCTCTGTTATTAGTGTGCTGTTTGAAATTTGATTTTGTGTCTTATCAATGAACTCTTGGGGTACTTAAGACATAATACAATGAGTAATGAGAAGCAGAATACCTGCCCAGCCAGAAGGCTAGCATCCCTTTGGTAATGTTTAAAGAAAAATACATGGCTCGGTGCCTGTGGCTCAAGTGGCTAAGGCACCAGCCACATACACCTAAGGTGGCAGGTTCGAGCCCAGGCCCGCCAAGCAACCATGATGGCTGCAACTGAAAAAAAATAGCCAAGCGTTGTGGCGGGCGCCTGTGGTCCCAGCTACTTGGGAGGCGGAGGCAGGAGACTCGCTTGAGCCCAGGAGTTGGAGGTTGCTGTGAGCAGTGAAGCCATGGCTCTCTACTCAGGGGGACAGCTTGAGGCTCTGTCTCAAAAAAAAAAAAGAAAGAAAAATACATGAGGGTGGCGCCTGTGGCTCAGGGAGTAGGGCACCAGCCCCATATGCCAGGGGTGGTAGGTTCAAGCCCAGCCCTGCCCAAAATAGCAAAAAAAAGAAAGAAAGAAAAAGAAAAATACATGAAATTCCTGATAAGCCATGAAGAATTAATTGTATGATAAATTTTTAATTTCTAATTTCATGATTAACTCTTAATCATAAATTATTTAAATAGTGTTATGTGAGAGACCTTAAACTGGTCTTTTGTTTAGAAAATTTTAGAATAGGCAGACCTTTGCAAATTCAACTAGAAATTTGAGATTTCTATTATATCTACTTCACGGTTTATTCTCATTGTCATTGAGCAAAACTGACTAGCTGACCCTGTGACATGTAGTTATCAGCCTAGTTCCAGGATCTGAAACTGAGTTTTGGCGTTTGGGGGTGCTGCTGGAGCGACCGCCGCTGCCGCCTCAACCTTTGATCATTTGCAGTGTCAGGCTTTGAAAACTTAAACCCGGATTTCTACCAGACAAGTTACAGCATCGATGACCAGTCACACCAGTCCTACGATTATGGAGGAAGTGGAGGACCCTATAGCAAACAATATGCCGGCTGTGACTACTCACAGCAGGGCCGATTTGTCCCACCAGACATGAGGCAGCCACAGCAGCCATACACTGGGCAGATTTTCCAGCCAGCTCAGGCATATACTCCAACTTCACCTTCGCCATTCTATGGAATCAACTTAGAGGATGAGCCACCTTTATTAGTAGTGTTAGGTATCAATTTTGACCACATCTGGCAAAAAACCCTGACAGTGTTACATCCATTAAAAGTGGCAGATGCAGCATCATGAAGGAAACTGATCTGGCAGGACCAATGGTTCTTTGCCTTGCCTTTGGAGCCACATTATTGCTGGCTGGCAAAATCCAGTTTTGTTGTGCATATGGGATCAGTGCAGTTGGATGTTTTGTTTATTGAACTTAATAAGTATGACAGGTGTTTCATTTGGTTGTGTGGCAAGCGTCCTTCGATAGTGTCCTCTTCCCATGTTTCTACTTTCCAGTTTTGTAGTCATATTTTCTTTGCAAGGAATGGTAGGAATCATTCTCACTGTTGGAATTATTGGCTGGTGTAGTTTTTCTGCTTCCAAAATTTTTATTTCTGCATTAGCCATGGAAGGGAGCAACTTTTAGTAGCATATCCTTGTGCTTTGTTATATGGAGTCTTTGCCCTAATTTCCATCTTTTGAACTGAGTTCGTTGGGGATGTGAACATCAGTGGGCCAAATACACAAAAAGGACCTTGAACTCTTAAATTGGACAAGCAAACTGCTACAGCACAACTCTTATGCAGATTTACATTTGACTATTGGAGCAATTGAAGTAAATGTGTATCTTTTGTTCATTTTTATAGAACTTTTGAATACTATATTGGATTCACCTGGAGTGTGACTAGCTTTAAGTTTTGTGTTTATACAGATAACAAATGGTGTTTCTTCATGTTCCTACAGCTTTGGGGGAAAAAAAAACTTTTTTCCTTGCAAATTATAATGTTTTTGATAGATTTTTATTAACTGTGGGATACTGACCACAATGCTGATGATCTTTCTTAAAACCAGCTCAGTCCTAGTAAATATAGACTTACTGCAGAAATATTTTTCCAAGAAAGAAAAATTGCCTGTATCCTCAAGGCAGGTGCACTTGAAGCAAAAAAGTGATCCAAATGTAGAATTTTATGAATGTGCATTTCAAAAAGTTGACATTCCTTCAAATTATCTCATGGAGTTTTTCTAAAATTGAGCAATACAAGAAGTTCACAGTCTATCTTATTGTAGATATGAAATGTGAACACTTGTTTAGGTATTAGTAGCCCTTAGTGACCAGGACTAGCCACTGGTCACTAACCGTGCTTATGGTTGAGTCTCCATATTTCCCAAGGGGAAAAAAAAATCACTAACATTTTTTGAGAAAAATATTTAAAATTTCACAATTTCAGTATTGCAGTTATTGATGTAAAGTACATTTAAATGCTTATTAATTAAAAATTTCCCAATTAATAAAAAAAAAACTGACTAGCTAGTTGTCTGAAATCTGGTGTCAGCCGTATACCTTATTGGGCTTAATTTTTTTACATCAAAATAATGTTTGCATTAGATGATTTCTAAAATATTTTTCTGTTTCAATTTTTATATCTTACATGTAATAATTTTTTTCCAAATTATTCTTTCATGCAGTGCTCACATGGTCTTCTGAAGAAGCCATGGGTAGCTGTTGTAGCTGTCCAGATAAAGACACTGTCCCAGATAACCACCGGAACAAGTTCAAGGTCAGTAAAACTGGTTTGAGTTCTGTCTCTTTCTCCCTGTTGGATGCCCTTCTTTGATTTATATCTTACCTTCTGAGTCTTACCACTAGACTTTTTAATTTCTCTATTTTCACTCATTCTTTTCTGGCTTTAAAAAATAATGATGCTGTTTTCTTACTGACTGTATGGGACTCGCTTTTTACTTTTCCTTTGGTCCTCTGTATCCAGTAGCCACACAGTTCAGTAATGTTTTCTTTAAAATGCCATTTCTTGGGGTGGCGCCTGTGGCTTAGTGGGTAGGGCGCTGGCCCCATATACCGATGGTGGGTTCAAACCCAGCCCTGGTCAAACTGCAACAATAAAATAGCCAGGTGCTGTGGTGGGCGCCTGTGGTCCCAGCTACTTGGGAGGCTGAGGCAGGAGACTCGCCTAAGCCCAAGAGCTGGAGGTTGCTGTGAGCTGTGATGCCATGGCACTCCACCGAGGGCAATAAAGTGAGACTCAGTCTCCAAAAAAAAAGCCATTTCTCAGGGGCGTTTGCAGTCATTATTTTCATGTGCCTGAAGAATTTCTAAAAGGATATCTATGTTTAGTCACCCTATCATTCATCTGTAGTCCCCATCGAGTCAGTCTTCCTCCCTTAGCCTCCTGTGCTGGTCTCTGACCTGGGAACTCAGTGCTCCCACAGCTGGTTAGTGCTGCTCCCATAATCTGAGCCTCCAGGTCCTACAGACCGGGGTGTTTGTCACAACTCTGTTACTTCATAGCTTTGTGA